TCTCTGAGGCTTAACCAAAGAATGTTAACTGTGAGAAAAGAAAATGTGCTGGGAGGACAGAATATTCAACTGAAGAATCACATATGGCCAGCTTGTTCTCTTTTTGGTTACATGAGTACAGGGACCAATGAATGGTCCTAGGCACGAAAAGTTTGCATGCAGGGGCGCTTATCAATCCCTGTACACGTGTATCCATTCCAATGTGTTTAAAGGCGTACATATGCAATGTCTGTCACCCTCTCATTGATTTTTACAGGCTGCTGGCTGTGGCTGGACTCCAGCTTCTTTGACTCCTGAATGCAGAAATACACTCAATTTTGGCGGTGTATACCAGAATGCATCCATGTGTGTAATCCCTAAGAAATGACAGGTGTACAGTCACAGTGCCTGTAAGTCTGTCATTGTTGTATCGGCTGCTGGTGGTGGCTGTACTCGGACACCCGTGACTCCGAGAGTAGAAATAAGCTGGTGGTGTATATACGGATGAATCGGTGTGCATGTGCACTAAGTGGTTACAGGCGTACAGCTGTGGTGTCTAAGCCTGTCATTGATTTGTGCAGGCTGCTGACTACAGCTGTACTCCCAACACCTGAGACTCCTAGGCACACAAATACACTTAATTCTGCCGCTGTACACCCAAATGTGTTCATGTGCATGAGCCCTTAAGACACAAAGATTACAGAACCATTACATACAAGAAGTGAAAATCTAGCTAGCAAACACTGTAGCCATTCTGTCCTGTACATGGATCAGTCGTCCTGGTCCCTTTGCGGAGATACAGCCCCAAAGCATGATGTTGCCACCCCCATGCTTCACAGTAGGTATGGTGTTCTTTGGATGCAACTCAGCATTCTCTCTCCTCCAAACACGACGAGTTGTGTTTCTACCAAACAGTTCTATTTTGGTTTCATCTGACCATATGACATTCTCCCAATCCTCTTCTGGATCATCCAAATGCTCTCTAGCAAACATCAGACGGGCCCGGACATGTACTGGCTTAAGCAGGGGGACACGTCTGGCACTGCAGGATCTGAGTCCCTGGCGGCGTAGTGTGTTACTGATGGTAGCCTTTGTTACGTTGGTCCCAGCTCTCTGCAGGTCATTCACTAGGTCCCCCCGTGTGGTCCTGGGATTTTTGCTCACCGTTCTTGTGATCATTTTGACCCCACGGGGTGAGATCTTGCATGGAGCCCCAGATTGAGGGAGATTATCAGTGGTCTTGTATGTCTTCCATTTTCTAATTATTGCTCCCACAGTTGATTTGTTCACACCAAGCTGCTTGCCTATTGCAGATTCAGTCTTCCCAGCCTGGTGCAGGTCTACAATTTTGTTTCTGGTGTCCTTCAACAGCTCTTTGGTCTTTACCATAGTGGAGTTTGGAGTGTGACTGTTTGAGGTTGTGGACAGGTGTCTTTTATACAGATAACAAGTTCAAACAGGTGCCATTGATACAGGTAATGAGTGCAGGACAGAGGAGCCTCTTAAAAGAAGAAGGTACAGGTCTGTGAGAGCCAGAAATCTTGCTTGTTTGTAGGTGACCAAATACTTATTTTCCACCATAATTTGCAAATAAATTCTTTCCAAATCAGCCAATGTGATTGTCTGGATTTTATTTTCTCATTTTGTCTCTCATAGTTGAAGTCTACCTATGATGCCAATTACAGGCCTCTCTCATCTTTTTAAGTGGGAGAACTTGCACAATTGGTGGCTGACTAAATACGTTTTTGCCCCACTGTATATGTAATTGCCAGGTATTAACTTTTCTTACTTGCTTCCCTTTATTTTGGTAAAAGTACCATTGAAGAATTTTGTTTATCTGTTCTATAATTGCATAATGAAACCTGTTTATTCTGCCATAAACCTTTTAAGTGTATAACATCATGTGCACCCTGCCTCTACTGCACTGGAATCTCAGGCAATGCTGTCAGCCCTTCCTAATTCACCTCTGTGAACTACGTAACACGTCCCCCTACATCACGGACAGGTGGAGGTGTTCTGCAGTCTAAATTAAAATATTAAAAAGTCAATTAAAAAAACACATGTTATACTTATCTGCTCTGTGCAGTGGTTGTGAACAGAGCAGCTCAATCCTCCTCTTCTTGGGTCCCCCGCTTATGCTCCTGGCCTCTCCCTCCTGCCGAGTGCCCCCAGAGCAAGCAGCTTGCTACAAGGGAACCCAAACAGGCTCGTTCCCGAGCTGAAGCTCTGTGTCCCCATTCACACTCAGAGCCAAGGCTTTGCCCCGCCCCCCTCTCTCTGCACATTGGCTCACTAGCTGTGATTGTCTCAGCCATCAAGGAGGGAGAGTCCCTAGAGAGCTAAGGCTCTTGTGCACATTGCTGGATTGTGATGTGACTCAGGTAAGTACTGGGGGCGTTGGGGGGGGGGGGGGGGGGGGGGGGCAGGCTGCACACAGAAAGTTTTTTACCTTCATGTATAGAATGCATGAAGGTAAAAAACCCTGAGCCTTTACAACCACTTTAAGACTGAGTAGGTTAGGGTGATTGTGCATGCACTTCCTCCATAGATAGTGATACCGTACATCAAGTGAGCGTTGTCACCCTAGGACACGTGTTACTGGCAGAATCACCAGGTATAAATAAAGGGGGAGAAAAAGCTATAGATGGGAATTTACTGCAGCCAGTACATTGAAGGAATGGTAAGCTGCAATATATTATATTTTTGTTCCTTGATTTACATACACTTTAAAGAATATGTAACCCCAATGTTTCATATTCCTGATATATGCCTTCTGTACAATGTACAGTCAGGTCCATAAATATTGGGACATCGACACAATTCTAACATTTTTGGCTCTATACACCACCACAAAGGATTTGAAATGAAACGAACAAGATGTGCTTTAACTGCAGACTGTCAGCTTTAATTTAAGGGTATTTACATCCAAATCAGGTGAACAGTGTAGGAATTACAACAGTTTGCATATGTGCCTCCCACTTGTTAAGGGACCAAAAGTAATGGGACACTTGGATTCTCATCTGTTCCATGGCCAGGTGTGTGTAATTCCCTCATTATCCCAATTACAGTAAGCAGATAAAAGGTCCAGAGTTTATTTCAAGTGTGCTATTTGCATTTGGAATCTGTTGCTGTCAACTCTCAAGATGCGATCCAAAGAGCTGTCACTATCAGTGAAGCAAGCTATCATTAGGCTAACAAAACAAAACAAACCCATCAGAGAGATAGCAAAAACATTAAGCGTGGCCAAAACAACTGTTTGGAACATTTTTAAAAAGAAGGAACGCACCGGTGAGCTCAGCAACACCAAAAGACCCTGGAGACCATGGAAAACAACTGTGGTGCATGACGGAAGAATTCTTTCCCTGGTGAAGAAAACACCCTTCACAACAGTTGGCCAGATCAAGAACACTCTCCAGGAGGTAGGTGTATGTGTGTCAAAGTCAACAATCAAGAGAAGACTTCACCAGAGTGAATACAGAGGGTTCACCACAAGATGTAAACCATTGGTGAGCCTCAAAAACAGGAAGGCCAGATTAGAGTTTGCCAAACGACATCTAAAAAAGCCTTCACAGTTCTGGAACAACATCCTATGGACAGATGAGACCAAGATCAAGTTGTACCAGAGTGATGGGAAGAGAAGAGTATGGAGAAGGAAAGGAACTGCTCATGATCCTAAGCATACCACCTCATCAGTGAAGCATGGTGGTGGTAGTGTCATGGCGTGGGCATGTATGGCTGCCAATGGAACTGGTTCTCTTGTATTTATTGATGTGACTGCTGACAAAAGCAGCAGGATGAATTCTGAAGTGTTCCGGGCAATATTATCTGCTCATATTCAGCCAAATGCTTCAGAACTCATTGGACGCCGCTTCACAGTGCAGATGGACAATGACCCAAAGCATACCGCAAAAGCAACCAAAGAGTTTTTTAAGGGAAAGAAGTGGAATGTTATGCAATGGCCAAGTCAATCACCTGACCCGAATCCGATTGAGCATGCACTTCACTTGCTGAAGACAAAACTGAAGGGAAAATGCCCCAAGAACAAGCAGGAACTGAAGACAGTTGCAGTAGAGGCCTGGCAGAGCATCACCAGGGATGACACCCAGCGTCTGGTGATGTCTATGCGTTCCAGACTTCAGGCTGTAATTGACTGCAAAGGATTTGCAACCAAGTATTAAAAAGTGAAAGTTTGATTTATGATTATTATTCTGTCCCATTACTTTTGGTCCCTTAACAAGTGGAAGGCACATATGCAAACTGTTGTAATTCCTACACCGTTCACCTGATTTGGATGTAAATACCCTCAAATTAAAGCTGTCAGTCTGCAGTTAAAGCACATCTTGTTCATTTCATTTCAAATCCATTGTTGTGGTGTATAGAGCCAAAAATGTTAGAATTGTGTCGATGTCCCAATATTTATGGACCTGACTGTACTTGTATGAAAAAGTCTTCTTTTCTCTTTGTATTGTGTCCTTTGTGTGAATTCCCTAGTGTTCCTTCCCTCTTTTTCCTGTTGAAAAATGACCACATTAAGCAGGAGAACACAGCCTGGTCATTTCTCTAGCTAGGCTGGGAACTGAGCCTACTCTCCTCAATTAACAGATTTGTCCTGACATCCCCCTGCACAGCCTTTTTACTGGGAAGATCAGTGTAATGCTGTTTCTCCTCCCTCAGCTGTTATGTAGCTGAGAACAGAGGGAATGTGATCACTTATAAAAAAGGGAAAATGTACTTATAATTTTTTTTATATCTATACACAAATGTTTTGTATTCTATTATAAACCAAATGGGTGTTTTACAAGATGATCATTTACAATCACTTTAATGACAACTCTCTAGCAATCTCCTTGATGTAATCAGTTGGCTTTCATGTCACAAGCTGGCCTTTTTATGTCACAAGCTGGCAGGTTGAAATCTGATGTAACTCATTGTTTTTTTCTGCCACTTAGTACCATTTCAAGTATGTTTTTGCACAAATGATGGATTTGCATAATTAACAGTTCTCTTTATATGTATTGCAGAAATGCATCAGGTTTAACCCCAATGCCACCGTATGGGTAGCAAAACAGAGGATCTTATGCACCCTTAACCAGAGTTTGAAGGATGTCCTCAATTATGGCCCTTTACCAACCCTACAGTAACGGAAGAGAAGGAAAAAGTTCCTCGATGAAGAACGACTGCTGCGGGAATATCCTCAGCCTATGAGCAGAGGTGTGCCTTCCTTGGAGGTATGTGTGGTGCACTGACTACATATCACTATGTATTGCTAAATTGTTCCGATAAATGTGGTGCATGGAACAACTATAGCTCAGTAGTTAGCACTGTGGAGGGTACTGGGTTCAGTTACTTTAGGGTGTGTCTGAACTTTTAAATATCACATATATAGAGTGATTGGCATGCTACACAGAGTTAAAGAATAAAAAAAGTATTGTAAGCTGTAAATTGTTTTTCTTTATTCCTCCTATAACACTTACATATGTGCCTATGCTTGTATTGTTGTTATAATTTAAAAAATAAAGAAATCATTTCAAAAAGTAATATTGTCAATACTGTTAACGAATTGTTATTAGTTGTAATTGTTAATAGTCTTTGCTGACATACTTTTCTTTTTCAGTTTCGATATAAAAAGAGGCTGTACAAACAATCCAGTATTGATGAGAAACAGATTGCCAAACTTCATACAAAAGTATGTTTTATATTATTTGTATGAATGCTATTTAACATTTTGGAATATACTATACATTTATTGCCATTTTCATGATACGCATAGTGGTTACTGAAGTGGAGGTTCTACATATTTCTGTTTTAGCTATAAAGCCTTTTTCTTTTAAATTAGTATTTTTTTACTAGTTAACTTTTGAGACCAAACTATTTTGAAAGTGATAGTAATAAATCAATAAATCATGGAAGTGCTGTACTTGAGAAAAAATCCTGTACTGTGGTGCTTTACCTGCTGTACTGACTGCTGTGCTTTGCCCTTGATAGTAGGGATAAGGTTTGGTTTTAGAGGGAATCTCCGGGGCTCACAAATCATGAAAAGTGACTGAAAAGTTTTCAGGTTTGCCACCAGAAATAAGGAGCAACCCCAAATGCATTAAATAGCTTTGGTCCTAGGCAATTGTACCACAGAAGCCAGTAATCTGAAAGAATGGATAACCTTTAGGGATTCATTCACATGGACATTAAAAACTCTGCGTACAATGCTGTACAGTATTCTTTCTGCAGCTTATAAATGACCCATTCAGTTGCCAGGTCAGTAGTGTTTAACCAGTGGTGCAGGTGCCACTAGCTGCATATTGTCGATATTGACATTTTGCCTCTGAGCAGCAGCAGTAGCAGGCTATAGGGTGCATTAACACTGTACACTGTACGTACTGTATGTAAATGTAGCACAAATGTCATATGTGTACAGACAGCTCTAAATTCAGGATCTTGCTGCCAAGCTTCTTCCAGCAAGATTGTGCATTTATTAATATGAATGAACTCTAGAAGGTTTCATCCACAGCAGCCATATCATCATTGTGGCCTGTTGTTAGGGCGAGTTGAAATAATGCGCTATAATGTGCTTTTAATTTTGGCATTGATATCAATAGGGTTTACTGCAAAGGCATACTTGGTTGTCTGATACTTAAAGTGGAACTAAAGTCACAATACTTACCTCCGTTCCAATGGTCTGTCTGTGAGTGGTCCCTCTACAGCTTCTTCTGGGCTCCAGTCTCTAGCCATTTTGATTGGGTTGCAAGTGGGTGGTGTTCATCTGGGCACACAGGCCAAGATGTAAAGTGAGCTTCTCAGTGTACACGCCACAGAGGACTGTGAACAGGCAGGTAGGTTAATTTTATTGCAGAAGAGACAATACATATCTCTTCTGTCATAAATAGCCTGCCTTTGTAATTTTACTTTTAATTCTGCTTTAACCACTTGTTGATCGCGCCATAGCTGAATGATGGCTACAGCATGGTTGTCCATTTCTGGGAGGGTGTCATATGACGTCTGCCCCCCAGCAGTGCGCAACTGGCACTCTCTGTGATTGCTGTGTCTTTTGAACACAGCTTTTTACATGACACTCTAAAGGGCCAATCACAGTGGGCTTTTACCACATGATTAGCTGTGTCCAATCACAGCTGATCACCGTGTAAACACACTTGCTGGTTATCGGTAGCACTTTGCTCATGCTGTAACAGGGTGAGGAAAGTACTGCCGATAACCGGATAGTGTAGAAGGAGACATCTATTTACACTGATAATCAGGGCACTGATTCTCAGTGCAGCCCCAAAAGTGTCCATCAGTGCCCAACAGTGCTGCCAATCAGTGCCCATCAGTGTCACCAGTCAATGCCACCTATCAGTGCCGCAAGTCAGTGGCCTTCAGTGCTGCTTGTTAGTACCCTTTATGCCCGTCATTGCCGCCTATCAGTACCTCATATCAGTGCAGCTTCATCAGTGCCTCATCATCAATGCCGACCTGTGCAGCCTATCAGTGCTACCTATGAGTGCCCATCAATGCTGCCTATCAGTGCCCATCAGTGCAGCCTCATTGACGCCCAGCAGTGAAGGAGAAAAGTTACCTATTTGCTAAATTTTATAATATAAACTAAGAAAACTTTTTTTTCTCAAAATGTTTGGTCTTTTTTAGTTTGTTTGGCAAAAAATAAAACACCCAGTGGTGATTAAATACAACCAAAAGAAAGCTCTTTTTGTGTGAAAAAAATTATAAAAATTTAAAATGGGCACAGTGTTGCATGACCGCGCGATTGTCATTTAAAGTGCGACAGCAGAGAAAGCTGAAAATTGGCCTGGGGGGGGGGGGGGGGGATGTCGTGCCTTTGCAAAGAGATGGCACTAGTGATAAACTAATGTACAGAATATTGGCTGAACAAAGTCGTATCTACTAACAGACCTGTGCTATTTCCCCAAGTCATAGGCTTTGACATACACACAACGAAGCTGAATGCATTGGGCTCCCTGCCCTTGAAATAGTTTGTAAATTGGGTGTCTAAGAATGGCATCTTTCTATTTGAAGTTACTAACATCTAAAATCTAGTCATTTTCAGGATATGCTTCTTAGCTGATTCCCTTTAGGGCCTTTTCATATCTCTGTGTATGCATTGTGCAGATTGAGACGGGTACATTCAATACTGGAGAGCTTCCATGGTGCACATATGCTTAAAGCACATGTAATCCCCCCCTCCAAAAAAATAATAATATATTACAGATGTGGTGGCTGCATTCATTTTCTTTTTCAAACCTTATTCCTATATTTTAACCTGGTGATTCTGCCAGTAACAGGACATGAATGAAAATATGTTTTCCAAGAGGCAAACATAGATTTCAACAGACCAGCTTCTTCTAAAATACTAGAAGCTTTGATTAAATGTAAATACAAATAAAGCATAAATCTGCCTCTCCCCTCCTTGACAGGTATATGTAGAGGTGCTCTGTGATCCCACATGACTTGGTAAAGTAAAATTCCCATGGCGCTTAGTCAGCAAGCAGTGCTGTAATTCTTGCTCATCTAAACATACAGGTTTTGTAGCTGAGAACAGTTATTTTTTTGTGATCTACTTTGATACAATAAAAATGACAGGAGGGTTGTATAGGTGTTATTTAATTGTGTTCTCCATTCCTGAGTCTTCTTGTGAGTCATACTGATGCACAAACTTGTATCTGGGTTTATGTATAATTATATGGTGAATTATAGTTGAGGCATTTTGGATGGTATCCCAATTCCATAGTAAGTTAGCCAAATTAAAAATAACTTGATTGAGCATGATTTATTTTTGTATAACTTACATAAGCACTGTGGAATTGCATAAAAACAATAGGAGATTTTCCTGAAGGTGGGGCACATCTAAAGACATTATAATGGTAGCTAGAGAATGTTGCAGATGGCCAAAGCAAATCAAGCACTGGGCATACAGTACTTCTCTGGCTGTTGTGTAGGGAATGTGATCATAGACAAAAGAGCAGCATGGATATCAATAGAAATCCTTCTGAACAGTTCAGGGTGAAGAATGTTTGCATAGATCACCTCCTCTCTGCCAGCTTTATCCCCTTGAACTCTGTGCTAGCGTGCCATATCCACATGCAACCATGTGGGTGCTGGCAGATTGGCACTATTTACTTGACTGGGTTGCTACCGGGGGGTATACCTTCTGCTGCGGTAGTGGTAAAAATGTGGCTCAACCGTGTAGTTTTACCACCCCTGCTGTGAACGAGCCCTTATAATCTGATTGCTACGATCACAACCCCCCATTTCATTGCCTTCTCTATGTACATTGGACCCCTTCAGTTGGTGCAATTCTCTATTAGAATTAAAGAAGGACTGTAAATTATCCATCAGAAAATCTGTGAGAATTGCTGCCGTTTTGTAACAAAACCTGTAAGGTATTTAAAGGTTTTGGCTAACTATATTGAATTTAGTATATGTTTTTCATTATTCATTATGTACAGGGATAAAAAAAAATACATGTTTAATTAGGTTTTTTCATTTTCTCAGTCTGATAAATATATAATATTGAACATGAATATTTCATATTTACTCTTTCTAGCAAGCAGGTGGGGTTGTAAGCACTTTTTTGTATGTATACCAGGCTACGTTTAAAAAGTCCCTGTCACCACACCAGGCATATGTGGCTCCCTTTATTATGTTATATTTTTTTTAGGTGAGATGTAGAATGTTGACACTCCTTCCCCCTATACGCCCCCTCCCTGACGTCACCCATACTGATGGCAATGGCCTAGAAGTCCTTGCTTGATCTGAAAAGATTGTCTTAAATACATCATAGGAGTAACTATTCCCCCTCATCCCCCACACCACACCCTTTACACTATTCATACAGATGGCATATGGATATTCGGTTAGAGAATGTGTTACCAAGAGTAGCTTTTGTCTGGCTCTTTATAATCCCCAGAACACTCTGTAAAACTAGCAACATTGGTACAATTTGCATGAAGAAATTAAAAAAAAAATTTTTTTGTTATGTATAGTCCCAGTCCAGTACAGTATTATCATAGTCAGTAACTGGTGTGGCAGTGATCAGGGACACTGACTGGTGACAGTATGTATACATTTTTTTTAATTTTTTTTTCAACTTTTTCTATTGTTTTTTTTTTTTTTTTTTTTTTTTTTTGTTTTACTATTGTACCATAGTAAAATAGTAACATTGTACTATGAGCAAGTGATCAGGAATTTTTTTTTTTATACACATTATGATTGCTTATACCAATGTATTTAATTGATATTAGCAACCATTTTTACTAAATGAAACTAGTTAACTTAGTGTCTTTTGTTGTGATTAGCTATACTAGTCTCATGTAGTATGCTCCCTGTCTTCAGCAGCATATCCTCAGCCACAAAATGTAGCATATCCACACTCTCTGGCCCCTCATTTCTTTTATTTGGTCTGCAGTTTCTGAGCGTTACTTATATCAAACATTATACGTGGCCCTTTGGTGATGTCAGGGGCTGCATTTGATGCCCCTTTTAGCTCATAAGTTGACAACCTTTGATTTAAAGTGTCTACAGGATGTAGGTGGTCAAAAATTGATGAACGAAATGAAAACGAGAAGCGCACCAACCTTGCGCATTACCTCAATAACCAAAATTTATTAATTATAAAAATATACTCACAAACAGCGAATAAAATCAGGCATGTAAGTCCTCAAAGGGACTCGAAGACAGCGCGAATCCCATCAAGGGGATGGATATTCAGTACAGCTGACGGGTTTTGAAGGGTGTCCCTTCTTCATCAGTCCCTTTGAGGACTTACATGGCTGATTTTACTCGCTGTTTGTGAGTATATTTTTATAATTAATACATTTTGGTTATTGAGGTAATGCACAAGGTTGGTGCGCTTCTCGTTTTCATTTCGTTCTGCAGTATTGGTCCGGCTTCCCCAGCCTTGTTTGGAGCCGCACAACCCTACATGCATTGGTGGTCGATTTTTCCAGGTCTGGTTCCATCCATTCGCCACCTGTCTGGGTCCTAGAGCGCAGGAGAATTCGTTTTTGATGGACAAAAATTGATGCTATCTTGTTTTAGTCACAGTACTTTACAAAATGTAGTATTCTTTTATAAGAGTTAAAGTGTATTTCCACTTTTGCAGCCAAATTGGGATAACACCTACATTCTATTTCTTACAAGTTCCCATGCACATAGCATAACTTACCTTGGCTTACCTTTTTAAGATGCTCTATTCTGGACCTTCCAGCAAGAAAAAAATCCTAGGGGAGTTCTCTTTTGTTTTTGAGGAGGGCAGGGTAGTTGTGTTTTTCGTAATTAACCCTATCTATACTGTGTAAGCAGATCCTCATCATCAGTTGTACCTGGATTTGAACACTCTCTGTCTTAACAAAAGGTTAAAAGTGTAGAAGCTGGGCTTCATGCATTGAATGTTAGTGAAGGCAGACTTTGAACAGACTCACTTTAACATTGCTCCAAAAAGTTTGCAGTCAGTCACGACTCCTCCTCCTGGGAAAAAATCTAAAAGGTAAGAAATATTTAAACGAAAAATTGTACTCAAACTGTGTGAATATAAAAATATAACAAAACCTATAGTGGCGTTTTCTCAAATTTGACTGCAAAATGGAAAGTTTTACTTTATTTAGATGAAAATAAAGAATTGTAGGCAAATGATTAAACAAATATTAGTTAAGACCTTTAAACCTCACAACAAATTTAAACATATTGAGCAGCAAACCATTCTTAGTTACCCTTCCTCTTGTCTTTTTAGGCTAATTTGAGAAAATTGATGGACTACATTCAGCACTGTTCTGTGGAGAAAATCTGCAAAATGTTAGATCGGGGGCTGGACCCAAATTACCACGACCCAGAAAGTGGCGGTAAGGAAACATGGCAAGCATTGCTATAGTTTTTGTCTAGACGTTGGATCATTTTTAACTATACTACAGTTACAACCAAGTGATAACTCGATTATTCAGTGTTTATAAGTATGACATTTGGATTAGATTTAATTGTTTTAACCCCAAGCACATTTATATATAACAATGGGGTTGATTTATCTAAACTGGTGAGTTCAAAATCTGGTTCAGCTCTGCATAGAATCCAATCATCTTCCAGGTTTTTTTTGTGAAAGCTTAAAGCGGCGTGTGTGTGTGTGTGTGTGTGTGTGTGTGTGTGTATATATATATATATATATATATAGTAAATTGTGGTAATGCGGAGTAATGCCACTGTGTGATTAGGCAGTTTGCACCAGATTCTGTGATAGGCAAGCACACTAATGGCACAGAACTGCGTGGACTTTCTCTGGTTTCTGAAGCTCTGGATTGGAAAAGTCTGTCCTGTGTCCGGGTTTTGCTAGACACCTGCAGTCTGGAGTACACAGCTGTGAGGTGCCGTTATATACTCAGATCTGAGAATGGCTCTGGGCTCCCAGTTGGAGACCGCTCCCAGTGGGGAGAGACGGAAGGTCTCATCGAGGGGTCAGTGGATTAAGCCGGAGGACAAGAGCCAGAGGTCTTGTTTCCAGCAGTCAGGAGGGCTACTATCGACATGTCAGGAGAACCCCCATCCATAGGCCAGAGGTGGGCATTACAGCAAGGCGCTGTGTCTAAAGGCTAGAGAGCCAGAGAGCCAAGTATCCAGGAGAGGTACTTCAAGTGAAGCTGAGTGAGTTTATGAGCCAGGTGGCTCTGCATTTTCTAGTGTTTACCTTTTTGCTGAAGCTGGAGAAGATCCCCTGCGTGGGAAGTCATTTGTCTGTGAACTTTTGCTATCTTTTAAATAGAAGTGGGCTAAGCCACTCCTAGTTAGTGCCCTCTTCAATGATAACTTGCTAGAATGTTTGGAGGCAGGTGAGCTTGGAGCCTTGTCTCGATACCCTACCCTAGCATTGATAGATATATTATGGTCTAAGGCTAAAGTTCATATTGATTATTCCGACTACACCTCCTTCACTCATATTTTTTATAAAAACTAACTATTCTGAACTAGGGAAGTTGCAGGGCTTTGCTGGCTGGATGGCGATGGGTATTAACCATTTTAATACCGTGCAATTTTACACCTTCCTGCCCAGGCCATTTTTCACGTTTTAGCGCTCTCACACTTTGAATGACAATTGCGCGGTCATACAACATTGTACCCAAACTAAAATTTTATCATTTTCTTCACACAACTAGAGCTTTCTTTTGGTGGTATTTAATCACCGCTGGGGGTTTTTATTTTTTGCTAAATTAACAAAAAAAGACCAAAAATGTTGAAAAAAAAACACGTTTTTCTTTGTTTCTGTTATAAAAGTTTACAAATAAATAATTGTTCTTCATAAATTTAGGCCGACATGTATTCTGCTACATGTTTTTGGTGAAAATAACCCAAATTAGGATGTATTATTTAGTTTGTAGGAAAGTTATAGAGTTCACAAACTATGGTATAGATCTGAATATTGATCAATCCTGAAGTACTGACAGCCAATCTAATTTCTTGAGGTCTAAGAATGTCAGAACAGTACAGATATCCCCCAAATGACCCCTTTTTGCAGAGTAGACAGTCCGACGTACTTCATAAGAGGCATGGCGAGTTTTTTGAAGTATTTTTTTTGTCATAATTTTTCCGTAAAAAATTAAAAAATTAAAAAAATTATTGTCACTATTTTTTTTTTTACATACTGTCACCAGTGCAGTACAGCGTCATCATATAACTGGCATGGCAGTGATCAGGGACACTGACTGGTGACAGTATGAAAAAAAAAAAAATATATATATATTTTTTTATTTTTTTTTATTATTTTTAATTTTTTATTACTTTTTTTTATTTTTTTTTTAAGATTTTTTTTTCATATTTTAATATGACCAAAGTAGTACAATGTTACCATAGTAACATTGTACTACTTTGGGGGAAGTGATCAGTATTTTTTTTTTTTTTTTTTACACAATTTGCTTATAGCAAAGAATTACTTTGCTATAAGCAAGCATTTACCTGAATGAAATGGATTCATTCAGCTTTTTTTTTTTTTGTGCTTAGCTGCGATTTGGTCACAGCTAATCACATGACATGTGCATGTGATTAGCTGTGACCATTCACAGCTAGGCACTAGTATACAATGGATGGCATCATGAATGAAGCCATCCATTGTATACAACTGTCATGTGACCTGCTGTGATTGGTCACAGCAGGTCACATGGTACCTGCAAGGGGGGCCGGTACTCAGATCTGTCATCGGCCGTGTCCGAGGTACACGGCCGGTGACAGATCGCGCCGCTGCGCCGCTCTTCATTAGCGCAAACGCGCATGTGCGGGAGCACGCCAAATGGCGTGCACCCGGAGTGCAGAAGCACTTTTGAAGCCGCCATTGGCCGGGTGGCTAATGGTTAAATATGTTCCACAATTGTATCATGGTCAACTGCTGAAGGACTTTCGAACTTTGCAACTTGAATATGGCTTACCAAATCACTTTTTTTTTTTCAATACCTGCAACTTAGACGTGCCATCTCTGCACAATCTAAAATCTCTACATGGTTATTCGTTGAGCCAGAAGTTCTTACTTGAACTATATCCTCAACCTCTAGAAAGGGCTAAATATCCTTCTTGTATCAATCCTTTGTACAACGGGTTTCTAAGGCAATGTCTGTCAATTGCAGGGCACAATGGTCGGTATAATTAGGCACCATCTCAGATGAGGAATGGTCCTCAATACTAGAAAATGCAATTAAGATCTCTCTGTCTCCAATTCAAAAGCTTACCAACCTCTTTATCATTCACCGTACTCACCACACACCTCAAAAATTGTATGCCTGGAATAGGAGGGATTCTCCCCTTTGTCCCAGATGTGAAATTATTAATGGCACGCTTCTCCGTATGTTATGGAAATGCCGTAAATTAGCAAGATACTGGACATACATTATAGAAATGATAAATAGAATTTGGATTCTTAATCTTCCCCTGGACCCTAAGATTTGTCTGCTGGGAGCCATAGATGAGCAGCTATATACCCTGCATACTTACATTGCAATTCTCAGAGTGCTGTTTATCACTCGGAAATTCATAGCCCAGAAATGGCTGTCTTTTTCTTTTGCACATTTTTTTTTAGAATAGAGTCTAATAGAAAGCTGGTTTACATAATCAAGTCTCATAGTGGATAAGAGGCCAGACTGAGCCTAGAACCTAATTTATGAAACCTATGTAAACGTGTAATGTGTATTCACAGCATCTCTGTTATTATATTAGAAAGTCACATAACACGTTTTCTGCCATTAAAGTATTAAAGTATTAAAAAAGAGCACAACGTGTTAATAACTGGATGTAAGGTCTATCCTGACAACTGTCACCGAATCCTGGCAGACTGCCAGAGGCATCCCCTGGTGACCATTTGTTGCATATACTATGTGTATGTTCATGTCACTGATGTGTAAAGGTATGACACCATGTCTTGTGAAGACAACTCGGTATTCTAAAAAGCTTGCACTAAAGTATATTAGGTTAGCTAGCAAAAAGGTGTTGCTTACATTTTCACATCCTTTCTACTATCTATGGCTAACGAGGCATATTATTATTACCGTATTGAATACAGACACCAAGAGAAATCACTATGCAAGTTTTCAGGTACTACTAAAAGCTATACAACATGTACAATAGGGTGTTTAATAAAAGATTAAACTTTATAAAAACTGTAGGAGTAGAGGATGGACCTCTAACCGTACACAAAGAATGTACAAATAACCATACATAAACTGAACAAAATATCCACAGACCATACCCAATAAAACTTCAAGGTCCCCCAAGGCGGTGGAGAGCGGGCCTCTCCTTGTGTCCCCCGCGGCGGTGGAGAGCGGGCCTCTCCTTGAGTCCCCCGCGGCAGTGGAGAGGGTGTCTCCTCTCAGCGTGGGAGAGCAGACCTCTCCTGCACTTGTCCCCTCAGCGGCGCTGCCAGTGTAATGGCGGTGCCGAAGAAGCCAGAAACCAGAAGTTGGAAAGCGGAACATAAAACACGATAGTTGAAAATGCACAGATGTTATCGTGGCCCATAGGAAATCATGTTAAGTATATACACTGTAGTGTGTTTCTGCAATACTGAATGTGTGAACCAGTTTCCTTTTAAGCAGAGTTGACTTGAAAACCCCAATATCCAAGTAGGGGCACCACAACCTAGTATTAATGATAGGCCTTGTGTCACATGTCTAAGAAACTGAAGTTTTTGCTCATAATCATGCAGGATATATTCAAATTTATGCATAGTGTTCTAATTTGATTAATCTGCTCTTACATTTAGGAGAGATGTTTTAGCAGGTATGTGTTCTAAAAGCACAAAATACCAAAAGTTGATCAAGGTACATTTTCTTTAATGACAAATTGTAATGGTGTCCACCTCTCGCAGAAACTCCACTCACTTTGGCGGCACAGATGGACAACTCTATAGAAGTTATCAAAGCTCTTCGGAATGGCGGTGCCCACCTGGACTTTAGGAGCAAGGATGGAATGACGGCTCTGCACAAAGCAGCTCGAACAAAATCGCAAACTACTCTTGTGGTATGTACTTTGAAATCACAGATCTCTGCACCTTCTAAATAACACAAGAACAACATCTGGCTTATTCATCATCGTACAGGTGTGTTTTTCTGTATTGCCAATATAGCATATGGCACCTTTGTAAGTATTAGAGTACACAGCTGTGTCCTGTGAATCTTATGTAAAATGATATTCCAGCAGTTACTAAAAAAGAAATAAAAAGTACACCAGTTACAGTACATATTTAATAAATTTGTTAAATGCATTATGAAATACTGCTAATATTGCTACTTGAAAATTTTCTTTGCTTTATTTTATCTGTCCATAAAGGATGGTGATACCATTGTTTACTGCAGAATCCTCTGTCACTTGTGAGTTCCTGGACATATGAAAAATTTTCATTAAAGTATTGATATTTTCCTGTTCTTTGTTTTTTCTGCCAGCTGCCTAATACCTTCCTCTCTAGCTTCCTGAAAACATGCTTTATAGCACTGTGCAGTACATTTGATTTTGATTGACTTAGAATTCATAACAGCAACCTTCCATTCACATTTCTTTTGTAAAGGCAGTCGTGAAACTATATCTGTTTCATCACCGATATGTGATAGTTTAAGTTTTTGGAGTTGTATTTGATATGTGCAAAGAGAGCTCACACAAATATAACATTTAATAAAAGTAATGGCAGATACAGTTGACAATAATATTAGAAAATATATCAAGAATACTTAAAGCGAAGCTCCACCCAAAAGGGGATGTTCCACTTTATGCCTTTGTCCCCCGCTCCCCATTAAGGATTGGCACCTTTGGGGATCGGGTACCCGCTCCCACTTCCGCTGCGATTGCCTAGGCGATTGGAAATGGAAGTTGTCCTCCCCCCTCCCTCCCTGTAGTCTTCTGGGACATGTGACAGGTCCCTGAAGACTACGTGACCATCCACAATGTGCAGTGCTTCTCGCGCATGCGCAGTGGGCACCGTGAAGCTGTTGCAGCCGGGTGCCCACACTGAAGATGCTGACGCCAGGGAGAGAAGATGGCCAGTGATACCAGCCGTGGTCAGGACACCGCTGGACCGAGGGACAGGTAAGTGTCTGTATTTTAAAAGACAGCAGCTACAGCTTTTGTAGCTGATGACTTTTTTTTTTTTTTTCCAGCTGGAACTCTGCTTTAATTAAGGATGCTGTTACTGCCATGGGTCCTGCCTGCTTTTGTGGTGTGGCACAGACCGCCAGACCAGGCACATGCATAATACAGCTCTGGGACGAGTCTGTTACTCCATGCTTTTCCTTTAGTACATATAGGACTTTAATGTAAGAAAATGGCCAACCAGTGGAGCAAAATTACCTTCTAAGGAAAATGGCACATTCCTGAAAGGAGATTAGTGGGCTGATTTTTTACATATACAGTTGCAAGAAAAAGTATGTGAACCCCTTGGGATTACGTGGAGTTTTGCATGAATTGGGCATAAAATGTGCTCTGAACGTCATCTAAGTCACAACAATAGAAGAACAGTCTGCTGAACATAATACTATACAAAAACATTACTGTAATCAATTTACAATGACATTCCTATAGCATGAAGTCAGCTTAGGTAATCAGACTTTGTCCTTGTGTGGCTGCTTAACCAAAGCTTAGCATTCATTATTAGATATTTGAGAGACCACTAGACACCTTTTATTAAGGAAATATGTAATATGCAATTTCCCCATCAATATGATCCAAAAATATTTCAGACAGTTATAATAGGAAATACATGTTTGTTTGTTTTTTTACACAAAGGATGTTTTATTTATATGTTGGACTATGTTTTAAAGTAGAATCTCAGGCTAAACCTAACTAGTCTTAAAAATGCTCCCTCCCTCCTCCTAACAGCTATGTTGACTAGCTTGTGCAAGAAAGATGTATATACTTACATATTTTCAGCCTGTCTGGTCCAATCATGTGATTCCCTGTGTCAGTCAACGACGGCTACAGGGGGGAAGAAAGCACTTCACAACGGGTAGTAAAGTCAAGAATGGTTACGTAACAATAGGCTCCTAGGGCCCATGCATTGTCTGAGTTCCTTCCTCTCCTCTGCAGCCACTGCTAACTGACACCGGACAGCTGGACTGCATGACTGAACCGGAGCTGGCTGAAAGTAAGTAAGCAAACGGACGGGGTAGTTTTAAAACTAGATATGTGGAAAAAGTATAGCGAGCGCTACTGGCAAAAGTATACAAGCAGCTAGAACACCAAAAAAGGCAACCAAACCTCCCTGTAATAATCAATAATAAAAGAAAAGTAGGTGCAGCGCTAAAATCGAAAAATACAATTAATTCTCTATAGGAAAAATGTATAAATATCGGTGGTTAAACAGATATGCCACAATGGTGAATATTGCGTTTAGTCAATAAGAAGTGCTAAAAGCACACATGAAGTCCTCGTCCCAAAGTGATGGTAGTAAAAAGGTGAAGAAAGTCCTGGAAAACAGATAGAGTGCGCACTCACCAGAGGTGCGTTAGATTAACGCATGTAAGGAAAAAAATGCTGCAAGATCTCTCCAGCATCAGGGCTCTGGTCAGATCGCACTGCGTCCTATCCTCTGTCTCACCGCGAAGAGCAGTAGCCAAGTTGCATCCAAAACGTGTGGGCGTCAGGAAACTCCTTGGTCCAGAGAGACACTGTGGGAGATGGTGCTCTCAAAGAGAGCCCAATGAAGGACGCCACATAGTGTAATGCATGCTGTTTGACTCCAAGTTTAATAGTCAAAAGGGGTGAACAAACAAAATTACTGACCATAGGTAGTTGGCCACATGTAGTGGCTAGATGTCCATGAGCTGTAGCCCCCACTGACGCGTTTCGTGCGATGCACGTCCTCAGAGGGTCAGGGCCCTGACCCTCTGAGGACGTGCATCGCACGAAACGCGTCAGGGGGGGCTACAGCTCATGGACATCTAGCCACTACATGTGGCCAACTACCTATGGTCAGTAATTTTGTTTGTTCACCCCTTTTGACTATTAAACTTGGAGTCAAACAGCATTACACTATGTGGCGTCCTTCATTGGGCTCTCTTTGAGAGCACCATCTCCCACAGTGTCTCTCTGGACCAAGGAGTTTCCTGACGCCCACACGTTTTGGATGCAACTTGGCTACTGCTCTTCGCGGTGAGACAGAGGATAGGACGCAGTGCGATCTGACCAGAGCCCTGATGCTGGAGAGATCTTGCAGCATTTTTTTCCTTACATGCGTTAATCTAACGCACCTCTGGTGAGTGCGCACTCTATCTGTTTTCCAGGACTTTCTTCACCTTTTTACTACCATCACTTTGGGACGAGGACTTCATGTGTGCTTTTAGCACTTCTTATTGACTAAACGCAATATTCACCATTGTGGCATATCTGTTTAACCACCGATATTTATACATTTTTCCTATAGAGAATTAATTGTATTTTTCGATTTTAGCGCTGCACCTACTTTTCTTTTATTATTGTTTAAAACTAGATAATTTTAGGCCAGAATTCTACCTTAACCTCACCTTTTCATGATTGTATTTTCCTGACTCTTAAAACCTGGACTTTTTAAAATATACATTAAGCCCCTAAAAGTGATCTGTGGTGGATCGTTCTTTAAAGGGTGTTTGACAGACTCACATCATCATGCTGCAACAGGGACTGTATGCGGTGGCGGAGCATTAGCAGCCCCATTCAAGTTAAGTGTGAAAGTGCGACTGATTTAACATTTTTATCTAAACTTAAAAACAGCGCTGTAATGTATTGCAGCTTACCAGATCTTAGATATACTGGATGCATTTTTTCACTTTTTGTAGGCGTTTTTCCTCTATTTTCACCTGATGATCCTGTCATTAGCACACTTTCTGTCTGAGGTATAGCTGTGGTGGAACAGTATTTTTACCCTAAACTTCTTTCCTGATAAGGGACATAAACACCTAACCCCCCCCCACTCCTCCCCCCAACCTTACTTTCAATACAGAGGAGGGGAATGTTTTGCAGTTAGCTAGTAAGGCTGATTTTGGCATTTTGGGATTTCAGTTCAGCTAACAGGAAGTGACAAAGACACTTTGAAATGGAAATACACTTTAAAGCCCAACTCCAGGAAAATAAACTAAATCCACACTTGCAGTGATCCACCCCCCTCCTCATTGCACACTGCAAGGATTAAATGCTCATTTAGCCCCAGTTCACACCAAATACGACATTGAAATACTTCACTTAGCAATTTCAAAGCCGTGGACCCGGTGCGATTTCGTATACAGTTTGCATGACATTTGTTTGACTTCATGCTCAGATGTCATTGCAAGTCACATCTGAAATCGCTGAAAATAGTGCAGGAACCTTTTTTTTTCAAAATTGGTGCGACTCCAGTGGAGTTGGAGTTGCACCAATTTGAACGGTTCAATTGCCAACCATAGGGTGCGACTTGGAACTGTAGCAGCTACATGGGATTTGAAACTGTAGCAAAGATTTAGGTGTAAATTCTTATCAGCCTGGTAAATCTGTCCAGCTATCTTCTACTCTGATTCCTGAAAACTCAGCTTTTCAGAGAAGCACATCCAGCTTTAAAAATATACTGTACTTCTGTACTTCTACTTACTCTACCCTACTCAGTTCATCCCTCACAGCTCTTACTTTTTCAACCACTTGCCTCTCCCTTTTGGATTGTAAGCTTCCATGAGCCTCCAATTGTTGTGGTATCAAATTGTATTGTAACTGTACTGTGTACCTTAATATTGTAAAGGATCACACAAACTGTTGTTGCTATTTAAATCCTGATAATATTTCCCAGCTCCACAACTTATCTTGTACCCAGACTTCATTATTATTAGTTGTCCACAGACCTTTATATATGCAAACAGAACACTTAAAGTACATATGCTGCCTGCTTGTTTTAAGGAACCCATTGGAGGGCACCCTGTTGATCAGGAGCTGACCTGAGTTTAGTTAGTGGCTCGGGCGAGCAGATATTTTGTTTCTTCTTTGGCATGGACTTGCTGTACAAAGCCCTCTTACAT